TTAAAACTACCACACGAGTGCCAGCGGTTCATCATATTCTGTGTATCGGTGTAATTGTTACATCAGTTTGAATCTGCTCATTTATCATCTTACATCAGCCTTCAGCACCGTCACCTTTTCACCTTGTCTGGAGTCGGTTAGTCCCACGTCAGCCCTGTTTGTTTTGGAAGGATGAGACTAGTCAGACAGCCGACGCAGCAGTTTAAAGACAATGTGACATTGCTATACTCTCTCTTCTCACTCTCACTCTGCATTCTGCGTTCCCTTTTCCTCCTTTGTTCACCTTTAGCCTCCTGTCCTCTCCGTCTCTCATGCACTCACCCTTACTTCTTCCACCTCTCCGTGTACCCCGCATCACCCTCTCTCCCACCGATGCCCCCCCCCCACACACACACACACACACACACACACACACACAAACACACCCCAACCTTCCCCCACGTTCTCCACACTTTGATCAGCAGCGCTTGTCAGTCAGAGTCTCGTCTGTCTCAGCCAATATGGCTGCCCTGACACAAAGGGGGGTGGAGGACCTAGAATAACAATGGAGGAGGATAAGAGGTAGAGACAAGTTTGACGGGGTCACCTTGACTCCCATGACAAACTTTATTTTGCAAATCATAATGATGAGAAAGTCTCGAGATGAGGCAGCAGCAGTGGACGGACAGGGCCGATGGAGGGATGGAGTGTCAGAGAGAAATGAGTGAGTGGTAGAAATGAAGAAGAAGAGTGAGGGGTGGTGGGATATCCAAAAAGTTTCTAATAAATCGGACTCCAACTAACAGTTACTGCCGTTATCAGTTAATCTGTTGATCATTCTTCTTACACAAGTGGCAGGAGTTTTCTGTTTTATACATTTAGATGAGAAAATGTGCTTATTCATTTTCTTGCTGAGAGTTAGATGAGGAGACTGATAACATCTCATGCACATTAATTGAAGCTTGAGGTGGGAGTCAGTTATCTTAGCGTGGCATAGGGAGAAACAGCTAGCTCAGCTCACCCAAAAGTTCAAAAATGCACCTCCTGGCACCTGGTAAAGACGCTAAATCGTCATGTAAAAAGTTGTGGCGTGGTTTCATGAGAAGCTTCCGGCTGTTAGTGTTTCCTGGCGGCCAGTGGCTGGGCTAATTTTCTCTGCCTTTAGCCTTTCACCTAAGCTAAGCTAATTTCCTCCTGGCTCTAGCTCCATAGTTAATGGAGTGGTATCGACCTGCTCATCTCACTTTCAGCAAGAAGCGAACAAGTATATTTCCTAAAATGCTGAACTATTCCTTTTATAGAATTCATTCATTTTCTGGACTGCGTCCTAAAACTGATCTTCAAGCACTTTTCTACTTTTTATATGCTCATGGTTTTTGTCTCTATTTCACTGTGACAAAGTTTATATTAAGTAGGCTGCAACTGATGATTATTTTCATCGTTGCTTACTCTGTCCATTACTCTTTTTGATTAACCTCTCTCTGCAGCACTCCCTGCCCTGTGGGGACAGGCATTTACAGTTCGTTTACATGTAGAATGAGTTGCTCCTTAACCAAAACTAAGGAGTGCATCATACAAACGCAGGCCTCAAAATGATGAACAATGTATAAGCAACAAATAAGCAATGTCATTATATGTTTATAATCACTACTGCTGTTTTATAATAACTAAAATGATTCTCCCACCACCATCTATTTTTATTACAGCTGAGTGCAGCACGTATACACCAAAGGCTATTTAAAGGCATTTAAAAACTCTTTGACCTTTTGCTATGAAGGAAAGAAAAAAAGTTTACACCCTGAACTGGTCACTTTATAGGGAGATAACCAAAAGAGATTTTCTTGTATCAAATATGTTTTGCTGACCACATCCCCCTTAAAATACGGCAAAAACAGTGCAGCCCTCCTCGACGCAGAGATCTACTTTTGGCCACTTGACAAACGTCTTCTTCAGTGTAAGCCATTAACCGTGGTTCTGTTATGTTTACATGAGTGATTAAGCATTAAATAGAGGGATAAAAAAAAAAATAACTGAGGGGAATAGGGTTTCAGCAATCGGTCGAACCATAAATGGTGAAAAATGTTTATACGATATAAAACATAAAGAAGTGTCGAATTCTCTACGTTTGATCAGCTGGAACCCTGCGTGAATCTTTTATCAAAGTTGCCGATTTATTTTCCGTCAGTCAACTAATAAGCCATTCGTTTCATCACTAATGAGCTTAAAACATTTTAAATCAATGTACCACAGTAAAGTACAGAACAACTAAAGCTGATTAATTATAAATAATTATTATTGTATTTATTATTACAATACGCACACTTTCATTGTGCATACTAATCCCACTATGTAATGCTCCCTTTCATGCGTCTTACATGTCCGTGACATTACGAGGAAGGAACATTACTGTGGTGATGTGACTACAGATGCGGGATTTTGCACTTTAAATGCTTTGTCATACAAGTGATTGAGTTGCGAGCTTTTTTTATTTATTTTTTCTTGTTTCTTCCGCCATTTTTCCGCTGCCATCCACAGAGTGAGTCATATCCACTGTCATTACTTAGGCTCCCGTTCCTGCTGCAGTCAATACATTTCAAGTTAATGGCAGATCACCGTGGAAATGATTGGTGGCAAATCAAAATATCAAGATTACTTGTTAAGAGAAGTTGTTTTTGAGAATGATAACTCACTTTCTAATTTGTGAAATATTCCTCACAGGCGTATTAATGAGAAAGTGAGAGAAGAGGGTGTGACAGACATTTGTTGAATGAGACTGAAAGAGGCAACAGAGCAGAGGATGGATGGAGGGGTGATTGAGAAAGAGGGGGAGAGGGGGAAGAAATAGAGTTTCACACTCCCAAAGAGTACACTTTTGCCCTCGACCATGAACTCACACACACACAGAAACACACACACACACAAACTCATAGAAGAAAGGAAATTAAAACTGTGCAAATCTTTGGGGACTGATAAACATTGTGCTCCTGTATGCCACTCATATACTCATTCATCTGTGTTCCTTCGTGTGTGTGTGTGTGTGTGTGTGTGTGTGTGTGTGTGTGTGTGTGTGTGTGTGTGTGTGTGTGTGTGTGTGTGTGTGTGTGTGTGTGTGTGTGTTCACTTGCTTCACTTGTTTGGATTGGAGCTGCAAGGTTAGACCAACAAGCCAATCACCTGCCAGTTTACTACTCGCATCACGCTACGCTTCGCTGTTCACAAACACCCCTCTTTTTATTTCTTCTTTCTTTTCTTCTCTCCCCACACTCTATCCTCCCTCTTTCACTCTCTCCATTTCCTTCTCGCAAACACACACAAACACACACTCAGTTGGGAAATTCTGAAAATCATTCTGAGTGGGAGGTAAAGTAAGAGGAAACCCAAACAACAGGAGACATACACAAAGGCGTAGAGAGGATCAATCTCCTTAGAAAGCCCGAACATAAGAGAAACAACAATGCTGTGAAAAAAAGCAGGAGAGCGATTTTTATTTCTATAACACCATCTCTCTGTTAAAATCTATCTATCCACTTTTAATCTGTTTGTTCCTTCCTTTCTTCCTTCCTGGAGGGAAATTCAATTATCGCAGCAGAAAGGCAGTTTCTGTTAATTCCTGCAGAGTTATGGCTCGCTGTTATATACAGATGAGTATGGTGGTTAAAGAGCAGCACTTACAGTTAGCTACAATACCAAGATAAAGTAAGAAGGAGTTATACTACAGCCTCTGTCTAATTGGAACCATGTAAATTAACACACAGATGTGCTAAACACAGCTGAATTGTTGGAACATGTGTGTAGCATTGGGCTCTTTATTAACTCACCAAAGAGACAGATTCTGTTATACATGCGGTGTATAACCGAATCTGTCAGTGAGTGAATGTGTGTGTGAGTTTCCTGAAAGCTTAAATGATGCCTTGGTAGTAAAATTTGAGTATGTTTGAATGCAGCATACTATCAAAGAAGACACATCAGAGAGCACGCTTGTGTGTGTGTGTGTGTGTGTGTGTGTGATTGTTGGAACATGTGTGTAGCATTGGGCTCTTTATTAACTCACCAAAGAGACAGATTCTGTTATACATGCGGTGTATAACCGAATCTGTCAGTGAGTGAATGTGTGTGTGAGTTTCCTGAAAGCTTAAATGATGCCTTGGTAGTAAAATTTGAGTATGTTTGAATGCAGCATACTATCAAAGAAGACACATCAGAGAGCACGCTTGTGTGTGTGTGTGTGTGTGTGTGTGTGTGAGATAGTGTATGTGTGAGTGTGTGTGTGTGTGTGTGTGTGTGTGTGTGTGTGTGTTAGTGTGTGTGTGTGTGTGTGTGTGTGTGTTAGTGTGTGTTAGTGTGTGTTAGTGTGTGTGTGTTTTCTCCACTCATGTACATCTGGGTAGCACACACAGACATTCATGGTGCAATTCCGCACTTTGATTCCATGAATTTTAAGCCCACAATATCATATGTTTGGAACTAAACCTCCCGAAGAGCATGCCAGAGTGCATTCAGAAAATCTCACATTTTAAGATGCACTTTGGATACTGTATCCCACCTTTAAGGGAGCGTGGACTGCTAAGACCTAACTCCTAAATCTAGATAGAACAAGGAAACCCCCCCCCCCTTAATTCATTGCTGCCAAATTTAACAAGGGGCTGTAATAAAAAGCTGTGGAAAGAAGAGGGGATTTGTATCTTTCTTTGTCTCTGTCGCCTTGCAAATGTAAATGTCTGGATTGTGACAAAAAAATGTTTCATTTCTCATCCTGTTTTTTGTGCCTATGGCAGAAAAAAAAAAAAAGATTGTAAATCTTTCTTGGAATGAAATGTGATGAAAAGCTATAGATATTCTGAAAGTAAAGAGAGGCCGCCTCTACTTCGTTCAACTTCTATTAGATGTAACGTATCTGTGATGGAGGTGTTATTTGTTTTACGGCTGTGAAATATTGAACTTCGTATGAAACCACATCTGTCCTCAACGTTTTCATCTCTCTCTCTCTCTCTCTCTCTCTCTCTCTCTCTCTCTCACACCAGGCTGAACCAGAGGGCTTCTCCCATTTCCACCTCTATGTGTGTGCAGCCTTCCTGGTGAGGTGGAGGAAAGAGATTCTAGAAGAGAGGGATTTTCAGGTAATGTGCACGCAAAGACACCGGGGGCGCCATAAACCTTTGTGTTTCTACATTAGAAGTGACACCCAGATTGGCATCCACACGTACAGCAAAGATACACACAGGAACACATACACACTGCGCGTCATGCCATGTTTCATACGCAGGTGCCGACACCGATGGTGATATACTGTAACATAGCTTTATATCTATGTGGATTAAATCTCAGTTGTCCCGGTTGTGTAGGAAAAAATAAAATAAAATACCCACAGTAAAACAGCAGAGTGTTGTTGTAGAGTTGTTCATGGCCTACATCCCTCTCCATTACCTCCCTGGTCATTAGCTGTGAGGTTCAAAAGTCGTTGTGAGTGCATTAGTAGATGACAGTAGACAGCTGCCAGAAGGTGACTTTGGTTGCCAGCTCACTGGGGGACCTGGCTTCTTAACAGTAGCAACACAGTCCAATATCATCACATACAAACATCATCGCTGCTCTTTGGCTGCTCTCTCCTCTGCTCTTTTTTTTTTTTTTTTTGGTTTCCAGTTTTTCAGCAAGCTATCCTGTCTTTTCTGTCCACTCTTTTTACGCATCATAACTTAACTTTCATCACATATGTCCTTATGTCTGGACATCATGTGGTCATGTATGTGTTGATTTTTTTTTAAATTTTATTTACAGTACTGTAAACATTCTGTATTGTCCTCATTTTCTCACAAGCACGCACATTTCGACAAATACACAAAGTTAAGAGCATGTTTCTCCCAGCTCCATATTGTTTTACCTACCGGCCGGATTGCCATACAGACTTTTTTTGGAAAGGAATATAAATTCTTAAAGCATGTTAGTACAAATCTGAAAATGGTTTCCCACAGTGTGAGTAAAGTGGGGCAATTTGTATGAATGACATGATAGAAGCAGTCTCTGTGACCGTTGCTTTTGTGCTGGATTTTATTTAATGAAGTCACTGAAGAATTATATTTTTCCTGGCTTGAATGAGGAATAACTCTTAGGTCTTTCCAAGGTTCTGCACATTTGAGTTTTACTGTAACTCCACTTAGGTAGTTATTCCTAAGAAAAAGGGGATCAAAACCAGTGCAATAACAACCAAAGCAAGGGGGTTAAACTTGCTCAATGTGCGTTCCTGACAATGACATTCAAGCCCTCCGCTCGATCTTTTCTATGACTCCTACTGTGTAACAAATCAGGCGAACTCTTAAAAAGCAGCACTAGTCAGAGGGTTAGAGTTCTAAAGAATCTGTGTTTTAGATGGAGGCTGGCTGATTAAAGCTGATTCACCAACTGAGTGAGACACTGGAGGCTGTCTGAGTTTGAAGATGAGACATCAACTTATTCATCTGTTCTTACTTTCATACTCTTCTTAGCCTCTCTCGCCCTTTCCCCTTTTCTATCAGTCAAGTTTAAGCTCAAATAAAATTGCTACTTTTTGTTCGATTCCATTTCAGATTGAACTTCAGGATATTTTTTTTTTTATTATTATTTTTTTTATGGATTTTTGTAGCGTTTTGAACTGTGTGCACAGAAAAGCCTTGCAAATTTTTGTGTAGTATTACTGTGTGTCCACTCTTGTGTTACAGAGGTTAAAAAGAAATGTGTGCATTTATGGAAATATTTGGTCATTTGAACAAGACAAAGCTGGAAGACTGAGAGAAGATAGAGTCTGACGTGAGGTCAACAATGGCAGACTGAAAAATCATCATGAATTCAAGAAGCTCCTAAACAGTGTCAATTTTAAGACAGCTAGGTCAGCTTCATTCTTTTTGCATAATCAGAATATGTGAAGTATGACAGAGGCTTGTGACTTCACATCGCATTATTGTGAAAAAAAATCACCTTTAAGTGACAGTGCAGTTATAATTTCCTCCTCTGTGCTTGTTAGTCATGGCATTGTCAGTCTATCAGTCAGTCAGCTAGTGGCTGTATTGCTATGAAATTCTGTACGGACATTCATGATCCCCAGAGGATGAGGCCAACTGACTTTGGTCATCCCCTTACGTGATCTTTAGCACCAGCACGAGGTTGTTTTTTGGGAAAAGTCTCAACAGCTATTGAAGAGATTGCCACGACATTACAGACATTCATTGTGCTCCGATGAATCGTAATTACTGTTATATTCTGACGTTACTTGTCGTGCCGGCTGCAGTTCCCCAATCTGGTGAAATATCTCAACATCTATTAGACAGAACAACATTTTGTTCACACGTTCATGGTCCCGTGACGATGAATTCTAATAACTTTGCTGATCCCCTGACGATTCCTTCTGTAGCACGACCATGATGAACATATTTATGATTTAGAATGATTGGCCATGAAATTTGGTGCACACATTCATGTCCCCCTCGGGATGAACTGTAAAGTCTTTGGTGATCCACTCACTCTCCCTTCATCATCATCATCATCATCATCATCATCATCATCATCATCATCATCATCATCATCATCATCATCATCATCATCATCATCATCATCATCATCATCATCATCATCATCATCATCATCATCATCATCATCATCATCATCATGTCTAATTCAACCAGTACTTTGGCTTATGACCAAAAAACTGCAAAACTAAAGGCGTCCCAGTCAACCTCGGCTGAACCTCGCGGTTAGTGATGATTAGCTAACTGAAAAGATGACTTCTTGTGACCAAGGAATGGTAAACAACAAATCAGCACTTCAGTTTGGCTGGTTTATTCGTGCACGGAGGACAGATCTGGTGCTGGGTACACCAAGTCTCTCACTGAATGACAGAACTCGAGCTGCTTATATCCTTAATTGATCTGAGTATGGTAACTATCGTCTGTTAACCTCAAGACCTTTCCCTCTGTGTTTCACTTTTATTGCTTACATCCTCCTGGAAGGGAGTGCATCACTAAATCTCAGCAGGGACGTAGATAAACTCCTAAACAACAATATAACCATAAAACCCAGATGTGCAATGGACTCCTTGGAATCCTGCTCCCCCGCAGGTCAGCAGCCTACCTAAGGTTCACATTCTTAACGTCCTTAAACCAAAGTTGCCAACATGCAAAAATAAAAGAATACAACCTTACACTAACATTACACAAAACTGTGAGCATGTTAGCATGCTGATGTTAGCATTTAGCTCAAGGAACCACTGTGAGTGCAGCCTCAAAGAGCTGCCAGCAGAGATTTTTGGTCTGGTTTTAAAACATTTTTCTGCTGTTGGAAATAATTGGAAACCAAGGCCGCAGTGGGTATCTTCAACATGTACTCAGGCATACACTCCAAAGTCTGTTCAAACTTTTCTGCAGTAGTAGTTTTGAATTCAGAACTCCTAAATGAGGAAACCCCAGGAGTACATAGTCCTCACGGAGACTGCAAGAAGCTTTAGAAAATACTCGCCCTGCTGTGGTAATATGGTAAAAGACTTTGTAGATACCATGAATTCCTAAATAGTGGCCTCAACTGCAGGGAGAACTGGGCCTTTATTTAAAATAGGCCTATATAAGACACAGGCCTTCATTTCTACTTCTCGTTTTCTTTTATTTTCACTTTTTTTTTTCCACAAAAGTTCTCCCTTTTTTTTTTTTTTTTTTTATCCACTCCTGTTTTCACTTTCTGTTGATGCTATTTCCTGCTAATACAAACTCAGCGCTTCGTTAGCATTTACCTGTTGCCTCGATAAATTCAAGATAATGTGCATTCCTTACAGCACTAATACCATCAATACAGCAGTCATGCCATATACTTTATTTCTCTTGCCACTCCTAAGAGTCTGGCCTTCTCCTTCGTCCCCCCCATAAACCCAGTCACGCAAAGACATACACACACAAAAGCACACACATACACATACACAGCCAAATGTCATCCTGGCATTTTCCCCTGCCCAATATACAGCAAATGATCTCTCATGGCCTATTTGTTTATGTCTTCATGGGAAGACATAAACAAATACTTAATGGAACACAGATGCCCTGAATGTGTTTGTGTGTTCATGTGTGTGTTCATGTGTGTGTTCATGTGGGTGCATTGTCTGGATATATATATATATATATGTCTGTCTGTCTGTCTGTCTGTCTGTGTGTTCAGAATCAAAGTGTGTATCTGTGTTGGAATGAAATGTTACTTTGAATTTGAATTTCCAAACAGTCATGTCTGTGTTTCTGAAAGATAAAAGGTACGTACATTTACACATTTGCCCGGTGGTACAAGGGTTGACGCTTTCAAAGAAAATTTTTCATTTTCTCAAATTGATCTATCAAATACAATTTACTAAGTATTTTTCTGACACTGATTAGTGTCAGTGGGGAAAGAGAAAAGTAAAGATTTCTTCTCTTCTCAGCTTTAGTGGTTTAATTCCAAGAGATTTCTGCCTCTGATCCACTGAGCCTCAGAGTTCAAACGTGGGCCTGCCAGGTTCTTAAGGGCCTGTTGAACAGCTCTTATCTCCACATGCTTTACCCAGCAACCCTCTCCTCTCATGTCTGCCTTTCTTTCTCTTTCTGTCTTTCTCTGTGGCTCTGTCGCTCTGTTTCATGTTGCTAATTCCCAAATGCTTTGTTTTTGCCTCTCTTCATTTCTCTGCTTGTTTTGTTTTGGGTTTTTATTTTTATTTTTTATGATTCCTTCTATCTCTGTCTTTCATTTTGCCTTTCTGTCTTTCTTTTCACCTGTCACTTATTCCTGCTCTTTCTTTTCTTTCCCACCTACATGTCACTTTTACATTGACATAATGAGTAGAGGGCTTCTAGTGATGGCAATGTGTGTCAGTCAGACTTAAGACCAAAATATCTCAGCAGCTATTGCCATGAAATGTTGTACAGGCATTTATGTTCCCTAGAGGATGAAGCCTCCTGGTCATCCCCGGAGTTCTCCTCTAGCTCCACCTGTTGGTGGAATATTCATATTCGAAAGGATATTCATGGTTCCCAGATGATGAATCATAGTGGCTTTGGTGATTCCCTGATTTGTCCTTTTGTGAAATATCTGGACAGCTGTCAGTTGGATTGCTTTGATCTGTTTGTCCAGAGGATGAGGC